GAGATGACAAATCGAGACTATATTTAGCACGTGTGCTGCGCACAAAGAAATGATGTGTACATTTACAAGACAATTTCAAGACAGATCTATTTACTAAGATAATGTCCATTTTATTTGTCAAAGGCACTGAATTATCCATCGGAAGGGCGCGAGAGATTAATAAAATTGTACGACTCGCGGCGATCGATAAAATTACATGTTTATCAGATTGGAGGCTCCGCATCTCGGCGATCGATGCGCCCATCAGACGAGTGTCACTAAAGTCGCGTTCAATCACCGCTAATAGAAATAATTAAGAGCCCCGTGGTTTCCGACTGCGGAAATCGATGACTTGGATAATCAATCCTCTTTGGCGAATTCGTTATAATCCAATTTGGATTTTCGTTATTAACGTCATTCTGTTATGTTTTATAGAATATTCCAGGGAAACTTCACGCTATAGAAAAACTCCTTTCGAGCAAATAAAAATATCGCACGATATATATTTCTTCCTTTAAAAAACACAACGATATAGAGAATCAAATTTTGAAACTATAAACTCTTTTTAAACAATCTTTTTTTTTTAAATAAAAAGTTTCGAACTTTTTCTAAGCAATAAAGTACACGAGTAGGGATTAAAAGTTAAATAATTTCCTCGCGTTGGAATTGTTGGAAAGAAAGAAGACACACTTCTTTGTAACATGAGAGGCGCATACACAAGAGAAAACATTTTGTATTTGTGTTAGAAACGGTTCACTCAAGTTTTTGTTAAAATTTTGTATTGATATTTTTAACATATTTGAGTATTAATTTAACATAATATGATTATGTTATTTTAATATTTTGTGTTAAATCGAAATTTAACATTGCTTAGTGTCAAAATAATACAATTTATTAGTAAATGAACGAATAACATAAAAATAAAATATTTTAAAGTAATGTAAATTCTAACATAAATGAATAAAATATTTATTAATTTAACATATTGTAAATTTTTACGTAAAAAAAATGCTTCCAAACAGTTTGCTTACAAATTGTATGACATTTTTCTTAATTTTTTAATATAATATTTGTGTTACTTTCTAACACAATCATCTTATGTTAAATTAAAACAAAAATTTAAGTGGACCATTTGGGACATATGAAATGTGTCAAATTTTCCAACTACGTACTCGGTAATTTTATTCTGAAAATTTTCTGAAAATCGCACACGTGTTACGAGGGACTCTTTTTTTTCGTCTTCTGTCACCTAGTCGCGACAAGATACGATCGCGGTGAGGGATGGCCTTCCCAATCGAAGGTCTCGCCTTATCGAAGTCGGCCGTGGGGAATCGTCGTGACAGTCTCGGTAAAACCTCACGAACGGACGGCCAGGCCGAGCGCCATAGAAATCTCGATCTTATCAGGTCGAAACTTCGTGTCTTGCGTTATCGATCGTTTCGCTCACTTCTATCGGCCGTGCCTCGCCGGGTATCACGTTGGAATTCCACAGTGACTGCTGGACGGTCCTCGGGGAAAAAACTCCGCTCCTGGCCGTCGTCGTGTCGGTGTTATTTGCACGATGAAAACGACCGTCGTCGGCAGCGCCGTTAACGTAAACGATTTTTTTAGAAATTCGCGATAAGCGTCGACAACACGCGGTTGGTGAATGCAGCTTTTTAGTCGCAATATGCGACTGGTATGCGCGCCGATAGTCGCTCGGTTTTTTTTTAATTATTCAGTGACAAATAACTGTGCCTTTTTCCTGGTTGTGACTGGAAGCGCGTGCCTCTTAATCGCTTGACGATTGTCCTACGCATAAAAAGGAGTTTTTTTGTTGAATACTTATTCGCGATTGTGCGCGCTGCAGCTTATTGACGCTTGGACTTAAACAGTCTTTAATAGACTTCAATGGACTTTAATAGATTACGGTTGACTTCTTTCCGAGTTGCATTCCTACTGCATGTAAAGTTGAAGTCCAAGGAAAAGTGCTGACGATATTTTTCTTCCTCAAATCGTTACTATTTAAATGTGATTGAGAAGAATTTGTAGAAAATAAAATTGATTTTATCGCACGTGGGAAAAGTAGCTTTAAATAAGAAATACAAATTTTTTACAAAGTTTTCGATTGCAACTTTATATAACGCTTTTTCGAGAGAGAGTAAAGGAAGGGAGTGTTTTTCTATCAACTGTCAGGTTCAGCAATCTTCCATGATAAAAGAAATTTGGTCCGACCACTTCTGTGTTTTTACTACTGGATAAACGATCTTCACTGATTCGCGCAAGAGTCTTCCATATTTATCGAGCTTTCCCGAGAAGGAAGATAAGTTGAAAATTCATCGGGAATTGTCGGAAATCCATCTTCCATCTCTCCCTTATCACTTCCACGACAAGACATCGAAGTGATTCGAGTGGCGATTAATCTGAAGCCCGCATTCGTGTACGCTTCGCCGCGTGTACGCACGTGCCACCGTCAAGGTGTGCGTGATATTTAATAAGGCAGACATTGTGCGGACTCTCTTAACTTTGCGCTGGCAAATTTCCCGGGGCGATGAATTACTGGCCGAGTGAGACGTGGATCGGCGATCATCATCAGGCGGGGCGATAAGTGTACGACGGGCCGCGCGACGTGAAATTGATCGAGGCTTCAAAACGAGGTTTAGAAACAAGCCTCGGACGACACGTTTAATCGTAGTGAGTATCATCGCGCGGTGATTATTGAAATTGATAATAATTCTGTAATCCGACTGCGAGCGATCCGCCTGACGGCGAGCAATCGCTTGTACATTTGTGCCGCAAATTTTACGTAATTCGTAAGGTGGAGGCCGTGGCGATAAGCTGAAGGCGCGCTCGGCGAAACGTTCGTCTGTGCAAACACAAACTCAAAATTCACAACGAAAATCGAGCATTCCACCGACCCGTATATTTACTTATGTCACTCAATTATTCAAGAAAGTTTAGGTGACACTCAAGTTGTGCCAATTGCCGCGCCAGTTTTCACGCGCATCCGCGAAATGAGTTAACGCGGCTTCGCGAAGCGACCGGCTCGCTTTCGGAGAAACGTTCGTCTTTGCGAATTTGGCTTCGCCTCACAGTGTCGTCCATTGTCCTCTCATTCTTCACGCACATTTTTGTCCGCCCTCGGCAACGTTCGTTTGATATGCCGCATACATTCAGTGCAATCACTGCAATCGGCAATGCGCGATCGTGCGGAAGAGACGCACGTGCGTGGCACACGCAATACGCGGCCTCCGTGTCGTTTTTCAATTTCGACGCGCGTAAAATCGCGATACGAGGCGTGCGGCGTGCCTTTATTGCGACGCGAGCCTTACGTAACATCTCACCTGTTTCTCGCAGCCGACTTCGTCATTATTATGACGAAATAAAAAAAAAAACCACGAACCGTAACGCATGTGCAATGAATGTGGAACAAACGAGCGCGAACGAACGATTTGCTTTAATGCGAATGGCGCTTATCAGTTATCGCGAGGCGAGTTGTTTATTCATTTGATCGATTCTATAAACGCGTCTTGTTCGAAAAACAGAGATTTCTGATAAGAATACATTACTTTTGTTAACGGATTCATTAATGGACGCTCCTTAATCACTCGTGACTAATTTACCGTTAAAGATATGCCACCGTGTTCCGCATTCCGTTAGAATGACCCCGTTTACATTCCCACAGAAAATAAATATAAATATATTTGTATACCCTCATAAGTTATCTGCATCAATGCGGCCGCCAATGGTCGAGCAGCGTATTATTGTCGAGCTTGCCATCGGGTATATGAGTCATCGACGTCATGTCACTCATATAATCGTCAAATATAATACTGTATAGAAAACCTGATGTTCAGCGTATAACTCGCGTTTATTGATATGTAGAAACAAATGGCGAATTTAACGATGGATGTCGATTCAAATTCCACTCTCTTATTTTGCATTTAAATATCTGTTACAATTTCCATATGATATTTTTATAATTATTTTATAATGCTTTTAGAGTCTCCATATATTTAAGTAAACACGTATAAAAGAAGGATATATATCTTTTATACGTGTATTATTTTTTATATCTCATATTTTATATGGTTATATTTTAAATCTCATATTTTATTTCCCTTTTCATTTCCGTTCTGTTCACGTCGAGAATGGGAATATAAACATTTGAAAATTTCTTTCAATCCAAAAATAGAAAATGCCTTGACAAGAACAGTTTTAAAGCTCCGCTCGAAAATGTATAAATATGTTATCAAAATCGCAGTTATAATACAAAGGACTCCGATATAAAGAACTCCGGCAATTTTGATTTCTATAGGATAGTTATAGACTTTTTTGTCCGACTGCGTGACTCAACAATTCCACTTCTAGCTTCGCCAATTCCGGCTAATTCAGGGAAACGAATAAATCGGGGTCACCAAGGCTCGATCAAGCTTCACCTTCGTCGAGGCGAGGCCTCGTTTCTAGGAAGGAAAACTACGACGAACAACGTACGTGACGACGTACGACGAAACAATCGCGGGTGAATGAACCGTGACGTAATAACGTCATGAGGGAGATTGAGCGCGATTCCTTTCAGGGTCGTCGGATAATCTTAGATACGCGTCTTTGTTGCCTGGCGTATCATTTAACATAAGCAATGTCATTGCGTCTTTAATCAGGTGTGACTCCAAGTCTCGGATTACATTGTGTAATAAGTTTGCAAAATACTCTATCCCGAGAAATGCGAGGAATATTTATATTAGAATAAATATATTTATAAATTTTATACTAGACTAAATATATTTATGAACCAACGCGAAAACAGCCGATTAAGAAATTAAGGAAAATCATGAAGATGAGTCTTTAAAACGAATTTCACGTTCAGTCCTTTTCTTCCCACATTCGCGTCATTCTCTCTATTTCTTTCTCGCCGAATACCAATATCAGTATACGGATCGGCTGTCGCATTGACAATCAAGTACCGTCACGCATCACGTATACTTGCGTCGGCGAGGTGAAAGGTCACGAGTAAATCGATCGCGTCGTCGATTTTATTGCAGGCGCCGGCACAGTCGATGCAACCAGCCAGGGGGAACCCGCGGGTTCCGAGTCCTGGGCCGTTGCGACCGTTCACCCCGCCGGACCTCTCTTCCATACCGCATATGGACGACACGTCCCTGCACAACGGCAACGGCGACGCGTCACCCGCGGCCGCCAACCGGGTCGCGAACGACGGCGCGCAGCAGGAGGGTGATCCAACCGGGCCCTTCATCGTCGGCAGTCCCATCGATCTCGGGGACATCGATAATGTCGACAATATCGGCCTCCGACTGGATCCCGTGTTGCGCAGCAGCAGCAGCAGACGCGGGAGAACGCGGGAGCACATCGAGCTTCAGGAGACCGGCTCGCCGGATTCTGACGGTGAGCAAATTAATTCGTCTCAATTAATTACTTAGAATTACTTGATACGTCCTACATGACAATCCCTAAATCAAACTGCTGCTGAAGCGGTCCGTCCGCTTTAAAGCGAACGGCGAAGAACTTTCCGCTGCTGAAGCCCGCAAGTTCGACTCTATTATACTATATCAGTGTCTCCGACGTTTTCGTGAACAACATCGGGGATTTCACAATTTACAAGAATTAGAATCAATTCCAGGAGAGTGGAAACTTCCTGGTAGAAACCTGGGAGAGGCGCTTAACTTTATTTACGCGCTAAAGATTCTATTCTTCAATGCAATTTTAAAGCTCCAGCGGAGCGATAGTACTCGACGAAAGCGGTCCGTTTAAGCGTTTAGAATGGAGAAAACTACCCCGCCGGCGGCGCCGCCGGTCTGTCCTTGGCCTATCGATGCCGTCGTTTACACAGTCGTCACGCCATCGCACGCTTCTCCGCGCTTCCTCCTTGGGGCAGCCCAGCCGTTGCGTTTTCCGCTGGGGCACGGTCGGTGCTGACACCAACTTGTTGCCGTCGTTGGGCGCATGCGTTTTCACGGTGTAGCACGTGAACGTGGTTGACGCATCCGTCTGGGCCACCCCTCGGGAGCAGTGCCGCATCGGCCGCAAGTGCGAGCCTCGCGCAAAAAAAAAAAACGGCCAAATGATAAAAAGCGTCGCGAAAGTTACTGGACCGCGAAATCCAAATTTATCAAGAGGACCATCCCGTCTTCTCTCTCCGCGTATCCTCGCGGATTTGGGAAATTTAACCGGTCTAACCCGTGCACCATCTGCGATTGGGAAGCGTCTTTACTTTTGGTATACCATTGTTCAAGGTCTTTGTGATCGCGGGGGCGTTCTCGTTCTGGGGACTCGCGGGGGTGCCAAGCACGGGGTTGCGTCGCGCTCGCGAGAAATCAAATAAGGTGTCACGGTCGGCTCTAACGCAGTTAGACGCCAGACGGTATCCTGACACTGAACGCGTGCCAAGCGTTAAGGAAAATTTTTGCGGTCGAATCGCCGCGGGTGCCGCCGTCGCGGCGGCCTCCCGGGTGCCGCGGATTTCCCGGCGGCGCGATCGATGCCCGTATAGGGGCGACGCGTGTGCGCGTTAACGACGCACGTGCGGCACCGCGTAAGCACCGCCAATGTGCCGCCGATGTGTCGTCTTTGTCGTCGTTGCGCCGGCAGGGGTGTGGCGAGAGAGGAGGCCTTCCTCTTCGAACGTCCGATGACGTAGACGCACTTGTTCCGGACGATCGTTATCCCAATTCGGGCGCGCGCGCGAGAGAGAGAGAGAGGAAGAGGACCGCGTTTCGCGCGCGTTGCGTTTCACGTCTTCCTGTCAGTCGCGAATCGTGTTCGGAAAACTGTGTGCGAGAGGGGCAAGTGCGTGTGTGGGCCGTGTCCGATTTCGTCCATCGGAGAAAAGGTGCGAAGGATCGATTACAGGGCGGTCGGATGCGCTGGGTTCTTCTTCTTGATAAAGGGTTCGTTCGATCGATCGCCGAACGAGACGTGGCGATTTGAGGATTCCAGGATTGCGGCGTCACGAAATCTTTTTTTCCGAATTGGAGTAAAACGTAGAGAAACTCCGGGAATTTTTTCGTGTAAATTCCTGTAGGGATCGTTGCGAAAACGAGACGCTGCTCCGTCCGTCGTAGAAAACAATAATCACGTCTGTAGAACGAACGATGGATTCGATATTTTATTTGCTGAGCTGTAACGCGATCGCGGTATTTCGCGCAGATTGCGCAGTTTCATGCTGACGAATTAAATCAGGCGATCCCTGCAGGATGGAATTTATCTCGTGGCGTCGGCGAAATCGAACGGAGAGATAATTCGTTTTATAAATAATTCTGATTCCATCACCGCATCCGCTACCGGTAACACAATCTCCTCTCCAACTTCACGGGGTCCGCATAAGTATTTATAGCATCGCCATAAAATTCGGAAACTTAATCTAAGCGGAGTAAAAAAAGTAGAATATAGTTTGCTGCAGAGAAAACAACATTCTCTTAAAAATCTTCGTCTCGAACATTAATCTTCTCTTTTTGTACCTCTTCTTTTTTAATTCAGAACGGAAGATCCAAGATGCGCGTTTCAACATCACCTTCTCCTATACGGTAATAAGTTACAAGTGTATTATTATCTGAATTTTTTTCACTAATATTCTGATTAAATAGGGCGTTACATTTCCGATAATAGAATAATTCCGCGATTTAACCCGAGCATATGGTCAACATATGGTCATGTTTTGACGGATTTTGGTTCTGTTAAAAAGAGAATAGATATAATAATAGAAGATTAATTAAAATTTTTAAGGAAAGTGTAATTTGCATCGAGGTGTTTTTCCTTTATCTCTCGCAGATCTAATTTTCGTATTTTATGTCACAAAGTGTAATTTGTTATTCCATCTTTTTGCTGACTTTTTTTTAATTGCCGCGATCGATCAAACGGGACGTTACAATCCTGATATGATGGATCGAAAAATTCCGCGATCTGGCCCGAGCCGAGCGACATATGGCCTACTTTCCGACGCATCTCGGAGCTGCATAAAAGAGAAGAGATATAAAATAAAAGAGGATAAATTTCTGAAATTAATTCTTAGATGAATGTTGTTTGCATTTTAAAGTTTTTCCATTATTCCTCCGTAGATCCAGTATTTTTCGTATTTTTACGGCGATAGCACGAACACGCGACGGATCTGCAAAGCCGGGGGAGGAGAAGGTGAAATGCGCAACGGAAATGCTAATCGCGTCGTTTTAGCGCGACGATCGTCCGATAAACGAGCGCGAACGTTTTGCGTGCGAGAGGACGCAAGGAGGAGGACGGGAGACGGGAGACGCGTAATGACGCCGGGATTACGCGACCGCCCACCACATCGCGTAACCACATTACGCAATCTCGGTTATCTCTCCCGGGCGAAAAAAAAATACACGTACGCGCGGCGTGGGAGCGTATAGTAGTGCGTCGCCGAGTTTTTTTGACGAGCGGACGGAGTCGGGAGATCGATAATCCGGCGTTAATTAAATCGCGCCGCGCCGCGTCGCTGTTCCCCGCGACATTCCGAAGATCCTCATTTATCTCCCCCCCCCCCCCCGTGTTTGCCGATCCTTCATCAGGCGTACGGGACACTTGCCGTAAATGACTTGGCACAGTCAAACTTGTCGAACCTGTCACGCTGGCACATACGTATACAGGGTGTCCCGTGTCTGATGTTTCTGTCACGCGTTCACGCTTTTAACGTCGAGTATATAAGTTTCACCGCGTATTTCGGATATCAAGATCAAACTGACCTTGACCTTGAATTTATTATAAATGACGCATTTATTATAAATGTATTTATTATAAATTTATTTCTGTTTATTTATTATTTCATTGTCATTATATTATATTTTATTATATAATATAAATATTTTTCTTGTTATATAATTTTTTCTATTTTTTATAATTATTCATTATTATTATTAACGCGTACATTTGCGAATCAAGTCTCGCGGAAGCCGCGTAGATGAGATACGTGCGGACACCCAGTATTGTAATAGTTGTACTGCTGCGTAGCGCTGCGAGCACGTGACAGAAACGTCGTCGTCGCGTCGCCGCGCGTCGTCGGAATGACACGATACGATGCGATCAGTGCGGATTTTTCTTCACGCGGAAACGCGGCTCCGGTTCGCCAAGCGTTCGCCAAAAAAAGAGAAAAAAAAAGGCGTACGTTCGGCCGGCAGTGCGTGACTGCGACCGTGTGCGGCTGTAATCGCGCGTCGCGATAAACCCGACCGTTACCCCGGTGGGAGCTCGTTCTCCCGAGCTCGCCAGCCTCGGCATAACCTCAAAAGCCTCACCGCGACAAGTGGAGGCGCGCCGGCGTCGGCGTCGCGGGCGTCTCCGTTCCCTCCTCCCCCCCGGCCGGGCAGCGAACGCGACGCGCACCGACGTCGTTGCGCGGCACGTCGTCGCGCGCGACGATCGATGCAATTAAAGGGGGAGAATTATTCATCGGGGCGATTTTACAGGCGATCCCCAAACCGCGCCGCGGATCCGACGTATACGTCGTTGACGTCGTGCCCGTCGTCTTCCCCGTTCCCGCTGTCGTCTCCCCGATGCCGGTGACGCCGCTGTTTGCTGCTGGCTGCTGCTGCTCCGGTCTGGCCGCGGCACGAGCTCCGATCCGGATGCGGCCGCACGCGTGAAGGAGAGAGATAAATAGAGAGAGAGAGAGAGAGAGAGAGAGAGAGAGAGAGAGAGAGAGAGAAATATCGAGATCAACTTGAAGAGAAACGAGAAACGGAGCGTCGACGGCGTCGCGGCGCCCGGCGATGAGCACGACAACGACGACCATCGATTCTGCTACGATCACTACTTGGCGCTCTCTACATTTACGTTCTCGTTATATCTCAAAGATAGGGCACGGCTCGCTTCCTCTATCGCATCCGGATCGCCGAGATCGATTTTGATTTGGATTCCATCGATTAAATAATAGTAAAATAAAAAACAATGTTTAACAGTATAATAAAAACAAAATTACATATAAAATGAATTTCTTAGGTATGTACTTTGTTGATAATCGTTACTTTAATCTCACATTGTAAAATTTCTCGAGTA